CCTGTCTCTCTCTGTGTGTGTGTGTGTGTGTGTGTGTGTGTGTGTGTGTAGAGCTGTCCAGCGGCCCTGCGCTGACCTGTCTCTCTCTCTCTGTGTGTGTGTAGAGCTGTCCAGTGGCCCTGCGCTGACCTGTCTCTCTCTCTCTCTGTGTGTGTGTGTAGAACTGTCCAGCGGCCCTGCGCTGATCTGTCTCTCTCTCTCTGTGTGTGTAGAACTGTCCAGCGGCCCTGCGCTGACCTGTCTCTCTCTCTCTCTCTGTGTGTGTAGAGCTGTCCAGCGGCCCAGCGCTGACCTGTCTCTCTCTCTGTGCAGAGGTGCTGCTGCAGCCGGCCCCAGCACTGACCTGGAGGGCCCTGGGAGGGGTGATCGACCTGTACGTGTTTCTGGGCCCCGACCCGCAGAGCGTGGTGCGGCAGTATCAGGAGGTCATCGGTAGGAGACGGCTGCCCCCCTCCCTCCGAGACCTGTCCCCCTTCGCTCCCTCCTCTCTCTCACTGTCGCTCAGCCCGGCTCTGCGATCTCCCTCCCTCCCGCCGGTGTGTCTGCAGACGCGCTGCCTGTTGGCAGAGGTCATACCCAGAACGAAAGCATTTTACTGAAGCAATCTCTCCTCCCTCCTTTCCCCTCTCCCAGGGTACCCCGCAATGCCCCCCTACTGGTCCCTGGGGTTCCACCTGTGCCGATGGGGGTACCAGACCACCAACGTCACGCGCAGGGTGGTGCAGCGCATGCACAGCGCCGGCTTCCCACTGGTACTGCCCCTCCCTGCCCCTTCTCTAGTAACACAGTATTCCTTACAGAAGCGCATGTTGGAATACTGCAGCTCTTGTCCTCGTTATTCCCTCTCGTCTTCTCCACTCCTGCTGTGGCTCACCTTGGCTCCATCTGTGCCAGGACGTGCAGTGGAATGACCTGGACTACGCTGACCAGAGGAGAGTCTTCACCTTTGACCCCCAGCGGTTTGGAGACCTGCCTGCAATGGTCAGGGAGTTCCACCAGGGGGGGTTGAAGTACGTGCTGATCCTGGTGAGTGAGAGAGAGAACAGCAATATCTCACACACACTGGGACACACACACACAAACACAACATAAACTGGAATGCTACAGAACCCTAAACAGACAATACACACTAGCCGAATATTTGACCAAGATAAAAAACAGCAAAAAGAAACAGACCCTGACGAAGTACAGGCAGAGTGACCACAGCCTGGCCATAGAAACTGGGCAACACAGGCAGACCTGGCTGTCCAGAGAGGACAGGCTGTGCTCCCACTGCCAGCGGGGACAATTGGAGACAGAGGTGCACTTCCTACTGCACTGTGACAGATACTCTGGGATTAGAAAACGTTCTTCCCTAAATTCAGAAATCTAGTCCCAGAGTTCCCACACCTGCCAGAATCACAACGGGTCCCAATCCTACTGGGAGAGGGAGGAGGGAACTCAGTTGAACTGGCAGCCCAGTATGTGATCTCCTGTCACAGCCTGAGGAACAGTGAGTCTGTCTCCCAATAACGCTCAATATGTTTACAGTATATGTAAATATTTTATGATATGTCTCTGCTGTAAATGTCTGTAATATGTCTGTAGATTTTATTTCACTTTTATTTTATGTTTTGTTCCATGTTAATTTCATCATTTTTATTTGCTTTGGCAACACTGATTGTACCCATCGGTCATGCTAATAAAGCACCTTGAATTGAATTGAATTGAGTGAGACAAGCTTGCAGCGGTGAATGAGTGGAGGCACGGGAGGAGTCGAGGGCGTCACCTGTCTGATTCCCAGTGGACACCTGCCGGTCATTATGAGGCTTAAAATGAGCAGATGCTAGATGTGTCAAACTACTGGGAAAATGCGCTACTTTCTACCAAGGAAGAAAGTAGTAGGTTGATTTAAATTATATAGAGTTCAGCAGAAATGGCAGTCAGAGCCTTTGGCCATTGGGATCCAGATGCCTGTGGTGTGGGTCTCGGGGATGTTGTCGCAGGTATGGGGCTCAAGGTGAGATCTGCCTCTCCAGGTTACCCATGGCCTGAATTGCCCCTTTCCGCCACCACAGGGCAGCAGTGTGCTGGTCAGAGCCCTGTACGTGAGATAGCTCTTCTCACTCCCTCTCCCTCAGGATCCCGGGATCAGCAGTGCGGGCCCTCCCGGCTCCTACCGGCCCTTTGATGATGGGCTGCAGAGGGGCGTGTTCGTTAGGAACGCCACGGGACAGCCACTCATCGGGAAGGCAAGTAAATCGTCTCTTCCCTCTCCAGCTCCTCTCCTCTCCCACCCAATCTCTCATCTCTCTAATCCCTGCAGTCTTTCCTCCCTCAACCCCTTGTAGGGGCCGTGCGTGATGATGCCGTGACCCCTGTCCTGGTGTGGGGGCCGTGCCTGACCACGCGGTGACCCCTGTCCTGGTGTGGGGGCCGTGCCTGACCACGCCGTGACCCCTGTCTCTGTCCGTGCAGGTGTGGCCTGGCCCCACTGCCTTTCCTGACTTCACGAACCCCGAGACGCAGCGCTGGTGGCTCGACAACATCCAGGATTTCCATGCCAAAGTACCCTTTGATGGGCTGTGGATTGTAAGAGCACCCCCTTCCTGTGATCCCCTGCGTGTACACCAGCGGTTACCCTCTTCAGATCAGGATCACAGTTGGCCCTGATTCTAGAGTGGTCCCACCTGCTTCTCCAGGCAGCAGGCGCTGAGACTGGCTGCACTGGTTGCTGTGTGTTGCATCTCAGGCCTCCAGTGTTTGTAGATTCAGTACATGTATAAAGAGCTGCGTTGACGTGTACGATAAGAAGACACTGTGGGTCTCTGGGACAGAGCTGTCCATGCTCTGCCAATCCTGTGAACACTCCCGTCTGCTCCTGGCAGGACATGAACGAGCCGTCCAGCTTCGTCCAGGGGTCCCTGCAAGGGTGTCCAGACAATGACCTCGAGAACCCCCCCTACACCCCAGGTCAGTGTCGCAAGGGGCAGCTTCAAAGGTCCAAACCCAGCAGGACATGGCGCTAAAGTTCAGCTGGACATAGTCCCTTGACGCTGAGGTTTTGTTTCAAATTCGCACTTGTACTAGTGCAGCGACTCCTTCTTCAGAAGGAGACACGAGGCAGTTCATACATGTAGGGTGTGCTTTAGTGTTGAGTTCTGCAAAACGCATGGCATCTGCACTCAACAACCTGGAAGACTTTTCATTATAAACTTATTTTAAAAGTACTCCCAACTGCACTGTGACCTTTTGCTTCCCTGCAGCACCCACCTTCGCTGGGGTTGGTCTGGGGTGCAGAGGCAGGGCTTTGAAAGATGCAGCAGAGCCTGGTGCTCGGGGGTAGAGGATAGTGCTGTGCAGTAGGCGTCTGATTGCCCAGGCCTTGCAGTGTTCATGTGTTTCACACAGAGCCTTGCTGACCTGGGAGCCCCGTCTCTCTGTGTTTCTCTCTCTCACTGCCTGCAGGAGTGATCGGGGGAAGCCTGAGTGCGGGAACCCTGTGCATGTCCAGCCAGCAGCACCTGTCCTCACACTACAACCTGCACAACTTGTACGGTCTCACTGAGGCCAACGCCACACACAGGTGAGCCACGCCCTCTTCCAGAGCCACACCCTCTTCCAGGGTCACTCCTTGCGTGGCCACACCCCTCCTGGTCACACCCCATACATGGGCCACACCCCCTTCGTGGGCCAGCCAGCATGTCGGGATGCCAGGATTAATGTGTTTGTAATAGATCCTGATCTGGATCTAGGAGACCTTCATAACACAGAACCGTTAATCCTGGGAATGGGTTGGCTTGGACTGGCAGTGGAGGCTGATAAAAACCAGAATCTTTCCATGACCACAACATGGGAAAACAGACGAGCTCTGGTGGACCAAGTGGCCACAGTAACTGCTGTTCCTGACGCCCGACTCTTCCTCTTCACCCCTGACCCCTGACCCCTGACCCCCGTCCCGCAGTGCTCTGGAGAGAGTGCGGGGCACACGACCCTTCGTGCTGTCGCGCTCCTCGTTCCCGGGCCTGGGGCGGTTCGCGGGACACTGGACGGGAGACGTGCGGAGCGACTGGGAGCAGCTGCGACTCTCGGTGCCTGGTGAGCAGGGAGTCGGGGGCGCAGTCCGGGAGAGGCCCCGAGGGACCCCGCCAACCCTGACCGCTCTGGCGCCTCCTTGCTCTCCACAGCCATCCTGCTGTTCGGCCTGTATGGGGTGCCCCTGGTCGGTGCGGACGTGTGTGGATTCGGGGGCGACGCCACGGAGGAGCTGTGCGTGCGCTGGACCCAGCTGGGCGCCTTCTACCCCTTCATGAGGAACCACAACGACAGGCCCAACGCGGTGAGGGGGTGCACTGTGCCCACTCTTTATCGTCAGTGAACTAGAGAGTAGAGCTTTTGTGTGTGTGTGTGCGCATGCTGAGCCAGCAATGAGGGTAATGTTGTGTGTGTGTGTGTCTCTGCAGCCCCAGGAGCCCTATGTGTTTGGCAAGGAGGCCCAGACGGCCATGCGCAGTGCCCTGATGCTGCGCTACTCTCTGCTGCCCCTGCTGTACACGCTGTTCCACCGCGCCCACGTTGCCGCGGAGACGGTGGCCAGACCCCTGTTCCTGGAGTAAGATCTGAGCTCCCTCCGAGCCCCTCGCTGTCCTGCTCCATCCTGCCCCCACCTCATGAGAACATCAGGAAGGTTCCAAACAAGGAGCAGAAAGAAGATCCTCTACTTTAATTCCAATGACTCTTTTCGTGGTCGATAACAGGGAAGGGCAATCCTGGTCCTGCAGGCTCAGTGCGTCTTCACGGTGTCCAGTCCTCATCCTTTAGGGTTGGTCAGTGTGTCAGCAGGTGTCCAGTCCTGGTCCTAGAGACCTGCAAACAGACTGGTCCTCCAGAACGAGGACTGGACCCCCTGCGGACACACTGACCCTGCAGGACCAGGACCGGACCCCCTGCAGACACACTGACCCTGCGGGACCAGGACTGGACCCCCTGCAGACACACTGACTGGACACCCTGGGCTAAAAGTACTGGGACTTTTGTTTTGCCACCCTCTGTATGAACCAGAATTCCCAGGAATGTGCCATGATGGCTGTCCCGTCTCGGGCAGGTTTCCGTCTGATCCGAACTGCCAGGCTGTGGACCGCCAGTTCCTGTGGGGGGCGTCTCTGCTGGTGAGCCCGGTCCTGGAGGAGGGAGCTGAGGAGCTGTCAGCCTATCTCCCGCCGGGCACCTGGTACAGCCTTCATGATGTGAGCATCGTACCTCTCCTCCATCTCGGATCTCAGATCTCTCCCTTGTCCTCATTTCTTCTTCCTCCCCGTCTGCTTTCTCCCGTTGCTGGGCCTGTTAACTCTGTTTCTCACTCTGCTCTTCTGCTTACCTGCAGGGCCAGCCTTTCTCCAGCAGGGGGCAGTATCTCCTCCTCCCAGCTGCTCTGGATACAATAAATGTGCACCTGAGAGAGGGGCACATCATTGTTCAGCAGGTAGGTGCTGTGTGTGTGTGTGTGTGTGTGTGTGTGTGTGTGTGTACACACATAATTGTTCAGCAGGTAGGTGCTGTGTGCGTGGAGGCTTTTCCACATGGAGCTGGTGGTGAGGTGTCTCTTGTCCTTGCTGATCGGATCATCCGTGTGTGCACTTCAGGAGCCGGCGCTGACAACCACTCAGTCCCGCAGTAAGCCCTTCCACCTGACGGTGGCGCTGTCCGGCGGTGGTTGGGCGAGGGGGGAGCTGTTTTGGGATGATGGGGACAGCCTGGACACCTTCGAGACGGGAGACTACTCCCATATCCTGTTCCTGGCAGGGGAGGTAAGTGAGGGTGGCTGTCCCAGAGCTGATTTCTGCAACGGCGCCTTTGTTATTGTTAAGAGTTTTATTTACTGTAGTTACTGCTGTGGACATCTTTGTTATTGTCCCTGTGATTTTTAAAATAAAATTATAAGTGTATGTAGATCCTTTAGATGCTTCTAGGTAGCTTCTAGTTGTGTAGTGGGGCCACTACAGAAATGCTCAGTGGTCAGCGCAGCCTCTTTGGGGAGATGGCAGTGGTCAGCGCAGTGTCAGACAGGAACAGACCAGCACTGGCTGCAGGAGGGTAGAGAGCCGCTCCAGGATTCGTCTTCACGCTGTCGGTGTCCTGCAGGGTCAGCTGGTCAGCGAGCCCCTGCGGGTGAACGGGGCTCTGGATGGGCTGGTGCTGAGTGCAGTGCGGGTGTTTGGGGTGCCGGCACCCCCTCGGGAGGTCTGGGCAGACGGAGAGAGGGTGCCTGACTTCTCCTACCGCTCCGACACCAGGGTGAGTCTTGGCCGTGCTGCTGTGTCTGTGGGAGCCTTTGTCCAGCAGGGGGCAGTATCTCCTCCTCCGAGCGGGGCGGCAGTAACACCCCCCTGTCCGGTCCGCCTGCAGGTGCTCACGGTGCCCGGCTTGGCGCTGCCCATGTCCCAGGTCTTCACCGTCCAGTGGACACTGTGACCGGAGCCCTGAGGATTCTGGGAAGTAGGGCGGGGCTCAGTGTAAGGAGTCACCACACACCACACTCCGCTTCCTCCTCGCAGACCCTCCCTCCAGCCTGCGCCACCCGCACCGCAGACACCAGGCCTGGGCTGGAAAGACTCGGACGGCCGATTTCTGGAGTTCCGATTTCCTTTCATTGCACTGTTGATGTTTTTTTGTATTTTAGAATTGGAAATTTGAATTGTCTGTTTTGATCACTGAATTAAAAAGGGCTACTTTATGGTGCTGTGCAGCCTTGTTCCACCTGCAGAAGAGAATCCCCGGTATTCAGTCGTTCAGTCCGCTGGCCTGCTGGTTTTTGCACACTGGGGCACTGATCTCCATTGGGCGGTTAAGCTGGAACGTAACCCCAACCCACTGCAACAGAGCAAGAAAGTGGACAGAACCCTTCCGACCCCATGACACCCATTTCAGAATTTTCACTGATTATCGTAAACATTTTGTGAAAATTGGTTCTCTTGAATTGGGCTTTATTTTGCAACATGAGAAGGAAAGTGTCGGGTCGCTCTCTGCAGCTCATCGCCTCTCGGAGAGGCACAGCGCCCTGTGTGGAGACGTTCCCGCAGGTCTCGGTCCGGACTTCTCCCTGCCCTTTGTTTCCATCTGTGACCCCAAGGATTCTGGGTCGAAGATGAGTGCTGCAGACTTCTGGGAGTTTCTCAGCAGACTGAATCGCAGGAGTGCCCCAGTCTGAATTCCTGTCCCTCCACTGCTCCTTTCTGACTGCCAGAGTCCCCTGCGAGGACAGCGCTGGTGCTGGACAGGGACGAAAGGCTGGAAGCGTCTGACCATCGAGCTCTGGGCTGACAATAAGCCGCATCGTGTGCCTGACCCCACCACCCTGTGTGCAGCTCTGACTCCCCCCCTGCTGATTTGGCCCCTCCCCTTGCGGTTATGACTCCTCCCCCTGCGTAACTCTGCCCCTCCCCTGCAGCTCTGACCCCTCCCTCTGTGTAGCTCGTCCAGCCTGTTGTCCCTATTGCGTCACCTGAACCCTACCTGCCTGCTGTATCACACACAGCCGTGGAAATTAGTCTCGTCTCTGTGAGTGGAAGGCGGTACCTCAGGGAAACACGCCAGAGTCCGCCCGCGGAGCAGATGCTTCACTGTCATAACATACTAATATTATGAACACGTGCTCAAGATTTTAACCTTTTTTTCGATTTTATAGAAATCAATAGATATCAGATACTGAATTGGTTTCCTTATGGAGGATCCTTTTGTATTTCACAGCTGAATGAATTCTCCAGTTCAGGCAAAAGGGTCCGTCTGTAACTAGGAAGACGGCTCATGTGAACAGCATGGAGACGTGTCAATGTCCCGCTCACGGGTTTCTGTTCTTGCAGGAAATGGGGTTTCGGAAAGTAGCTTCCACCCAAGAAACAAATGTGAATCCCTAAAGAATTGATATTGAATTAATCTGTAGTTTATATAGCGCCTTTCAAAGAAGCTAGCCTTCACAAGATGGTGTGTCATTGTTCCTTTTCTCTCTGGAAAGTGATGCCCGAGTATTTCCGTGCATCATTAGAACAGGAGGCGCGGCCCAGGCACGGCTGTGATTCAAGAATTTTAACAATTTAAATTATTCCTGGAATACCTCTCGCGTAAACAGGAAAGGGATTTTTTCTCCAGAAGAAACAGTGCCGTGACGCAGTGCCTTCCTGCGTGAGCCCTTTACCCCAGGTGATATTTATCCAAACCTGTTCGTGCTGTTGGACGCCTCTGGAAAGACGGGGGTGTGGGGGCGGGGCCCCGCAGGGAGGCCCCGCCCCTCCGCTCATACAGCTGCAGCGGCCGCCCGCCCGTCTGTCTCACCTGCGCTGCGCACCTGTCCGCCGGTCCGGCCGCTTCACTCATCCACTCACCTGTCCGAGCGCTAAGGTAAGTGGAGACGCCTAAAAAAATCCCTAAAATGTTGCTGTAACGATCGTTGCTTTCATCTGAGATAAATCGCAGAGTACTGTTGTTGAATTGTGTATCTCTTGGTCAAAGGTCAGATTATCGCTTGAAACGCTGAAAGGGTTGATTCCGGAAAGGGAATTCTCCTGAGAGGGCGAAATGTCAGTGTGCCCGGCTCCTGGGCAGCGTGCTGTTGGCGGAAAGGAGGACAGCTTGACAGTAGCGGACACCTTTCTGTTGCGCTGATCTGTTATAATAAAATCAGGGTAGAGCTGTGGCTCTGGAAGGGCACGCGTGCGCGCACAGGCGCTGCTCGGACCTGGGACCCCCCGGAGTCCCCGGGCCGCGGTCTGCGCTGCGTCGTACGGCTGGGGCCCGTCCCCTTCCTGGTGTCCGGGAAATGGTTCTGGTTGGGAGTTTCGACGGCCCCGCGCGCCGCGCCGTCAACACTGGGATCACAGCCGTGGGAGGGAGCGCGCGCTGCATCCGGCAGCTCCACGCGTGGCGGTGCGCGGGGAATCCGCGTCCTGCGCGTCTCGGACCGTCCAGTCCGCTGCGCTGCG